TGTCAGTTTGCTATCTGGGGTATTATCCTGTCTAGCTCTTTCTGCATCCGTTGTCCTTGTGCTTCACATCTACCTCAGAACATGTGTGTGTTCACACCAGTGTGTTGGGCTGGTCTCAACTGCCAACTGTTTGGACTGTTATCACCTCCTCACCCACCATCTCTCATCTTATCAACTGTCTTTCAATAAAACTCGTTAACACACATTCTGTGCCTGAGTTCTCTCTCATAGATCCGTAAAAACCTTCACTAAAAACAAATTAACAATTCATTTGAACATTTTTTCTCCTAATCCAGTCCTATGCAAGGCATGCTGGCAAAGTTATGAAGATAATTTAATTAAGTTACTACAACTAAATGTTTTTAAATAGCCAATTAGTTTATGGAGAAATTTGAGTTTAAATTACAGATAATAATAAGTTAATGTAATTATTATCATTATGTCAACAGAACACAAACAAATATTTGCAACTTAAAACAATTTACTTGCAACCATGCATTTATTTAAGTTGTGGTAACAGGACTCCTGAATTCATTTTTAGAGTACATTTGACACCTCTGTGACCTCGAATGAATGTAGTTGGGAATAAATTAGGCAAACTCAACCATCTGCATCAGCAGTTCATCTTAACTTTGCAAAGTCACTATATGGGGATCGACTGCTATCATCCAATGACAGGGCGATTTTTTTCCCGGCCAATTCAGTTCCAAGAAGAGCAAACACATTTTGCTTTTATTTTTTTTTCTTTCCAAACCTATTATAAGCCTGATCCTAAATCATTTAAATCATAAAATCATTGGTGAAATACTTTTAAGCAGCATCGTCTCACTATTATCAGCCCAGTCAAATGACTGCGGGTAAAAGAAAATCCATTTCAATCCCTCGCAGCATTTCCCCAGGATTACTGAGCATCCTTCACCGCTGACTGTTCCACACAACAGCATGGCGTCCAGAAGTAATTGCGAAAATATGCTGTTCAGCTTATTGTGTTTTGGACTAAATACAAATCATTGACATGTTTGGCCATTCATCACGCCGTCTGGGATTAGGTACCAGTGAAGCGCGGTCAGACGGTGGGAGCTCTGATAACATGCGTGCAGAGAGACAAATTAAGGCTGCACTTCCCACCTAATACGTCTCCTTACAAAAAGAAACAAATGAGGCCTTGAGTTTCTAATTATCACAGCACACGATTTAATGTCAGAGACAAATATTGCAGATCGCTGGAAATGAACATTGGTTGGCTGAGGGGGGCAGGACTCAACACTGATGGCGGACAGTAAATGATGGCCGTAGAAGATTTTAAGTCTGTGAGGGTGAAACGATCAGTAATGAGATGTAAACAGACACTCAACACCCTCAAGAACTCACTTTCCCTCAGATTTAACATGATGCTCTTGTGCAATTCTGTTAATGATCAATACATACAGTGTTCCTCAGGCTGCAACTTACTATTCACATTTAATTTCCATACAATTTAAATTTAACCAAGGAGTTTCCATGATTTTTAAGTCATTTATGATTACTGGATTTCTAAAAAGCATTTTAGGAAGAGCAATTTCTAATGTCTGAAATGTTTTAGAGCTGAGCATAACCAGTAAAATTTATATTCACTGCAGCTGTGGTTCTCAAACAAAAATGAGACGTGCCTGACCATGTATTAATGTCTGACCAAGTAGAAACAAAAAATAAATCAGCTTATCAACTTTTAAAAGGGAGTAGAAATCCGCATTTGTAGTAATTATTCAAGTCACTTGAAACTAGCCAAATTAGGAAGATGGGCAGGTTGCTTGACATCCCTCATTCAAAAATAATAATAATTATAATATTTTTGACTGCAAACTTTGGTTTTGTAACAGATACACATGGTTTGTGCAGATCACAATGTGTTTTGTGTCACTACTTGATGTCCCACTTAAACCAGATAACAATGGCACTATCAAAATTTCCCATGACTCTTCCATTAGAAATCAATTTAAAAATCCCTGAAAACGATAGAAATCTTGAGATGACCCACGACATTTTGTAGAAAAACATAGAATAACTGCACTACTAATCATTTGTTAAGCATGAGTAAATAGTTAATTCATCATCATTCATAAAGCATTAAGACATTAATAAGCTACAGTTTATAAATACAGCTATAACTGAGTTTTTTCTTGATTCATAAGCATATCTATAATGCGTTTAATAATTGTATGTTCATACTTTGTTAATGATCAATTAATAATTTCTAAAGGAAGTATAGCATTATTTACAAAGCAGTTATTTAAGAGTTGTCAGTCATTCATAAGATCACTTAGAAAGTAAGTAAATGTAGTAAACACAGGTAGTTATAAAGCATTTAGTAGTGGTCTGTTAACTATGTTTGTGAGCTCATCAGAAGTGAGGACTATTCATGCCTTGTAAAGCATTTAAGGAGATTTAAAGGAGATCCATATTCTAAACAGTTGAATGTAACAAACACAACACAGTGATACAGAACATAGAAATATGTAACAGCCTTTAAATCTCCTTTATAAATGCTTTACAGGGCATGAATAGTCCTCACTTTAGATGACCTCACACACATACTGTAGTTAACTGACCTCTACTGCTTTATAACTACCTAAATTAATGCATATACATGTTAAAGGGGTGATGAACTGAGAAATCAAATTTTACTTGAGCTTTTGACATCTAAGAGGTCATCATATTATAAGAATATCCTGTAAGTTTCAGAACTGAAAACGTCCTTGTTAGTCCAATAAAAGCTTTTATTGACACAGCCTCTAAAAACGACTCGTTTTTAAAAGTGGGGAACTATGACGACAAAGAGGATAAAACACCACCCCCGCAGATGATCAACGCCTGCTTCACCACGGCAGGTTTAGCCCCGCCCACCGATTCGCGCATCACACACATAAGTAATATACATGTACATGCTTACCTCCTGATGACAAACTGGATCACTATGGAGCAATACAGAATATTGTGCAGTGCCTGGTTGTGCAAGACAGTCGCTGCATAAGCTTCCTGTGGATTCCAATAGGACTGCATGGATAAAATGTATTTTTAATGACGTTCCAGCTGATGAGGTAAAACATCGTCGTCTGTTCGCTTCATTTCACTGAGGATTGTTTTGTCAACAAGACTGGATTTTCAGACCGATTAAGAGTAAAGAACGGTGCTGTGCCGTCTATATTGGATCTGACAGGAATATTGTGCAACACACGGACTCTGGGTTGAACATGTATGGGCGAATCCGGTTGCCATTTGACAACATAGGACGTTTTCCCCCACGTACACCGACGGGTGAGTGAAATAATATTATAATATGCAAAACTGTTCTCCACTCGCAGCAGTGGGTGTTTACTTCCAAGTCTTCAGTGCGACATGCCCATAAAAACCGACTGTTTTTTAGGTAGGCTCACAACCAGGGTACAAAATAGTCTATTACTTGTTCATTTTGATGTTTTTGAATGCAAAAACCAAGCGAACGTTATAAGTTGACCTCAGACAACAATATAATAACATTTAAAAAGCCAGTTCATGACCCCTTTAATAAAGCATTTATTAACACACTAAGTAGCCATCACTATATATCTGAATAATTCAATTTATGAATGTACATTTAAATAGTTTATTAATCATTTACTTACACTGTCTAAGTAATCTTATGAACCACTGAAAACTCTTAAATAACTGGTTTATAAAAAATGCAATTCTTCATTTAGAAATGATAAATTGATCATTAATAAAGGATGAAAATACAATTATTAAACCAATTATGGTAACACTTTATAATAACTACACGCTAATAATCATTAGTTAAGCATGAGTAAACCATTAATTCATCATTCATAAAGCATTAATAGACATTAATAAGCAGTTCATTAATACAGCTATAAATGCTTTCTTCTTGATTTAAAAGCATATCTATAATGTGTTTAATAATTGTATTTTCATCCTTTATTAATGATCAATTTATCATTTCTAAATGAAGAATTGCATTTTTTATGAACCAGTTATTTAAGAGTTTTCAGTGGTTCATACGATTACTTAGAGCGAGTAAGTAAATGATTAATAAACTATTTAAATGTACATTCATACATCTTATTATTCAGACATATAGTGATGGTTACTTAATGTGTTAATAAATGCTTTATTAATATTTATTAATGCTGTAATTAAGGGTTAATTTGGGTAGTTATAAAGCATTTAGTAGTGGTCAGTTAACTATGTTCGTGTTAGCTCATCTAAAGTGAGGACTATTCATGCCTTGTAAAGCATTTTTAAAGGCTGTTAAATATTTCTATGTTCTGTATCACTGTGTTGTGTTTGTTACATTTTACTGTTTAGAAGATTGACGAGTCTTTAAATCACCTTTATAAATGCTTTACAAAGCATGAATAGTCCTCACTTTAGATTAGGTCACAAAAATAGTTAACTGACCACTACTAAATGCTTTATAACTACCTGTATTTACTACATTTACTTACACTTTCTAAGTGATCTTATGAATGACTGACAACTCTTAAACAACTGGTTTGTAAATAATGCTATTCATTTAGAAATTATTAATTGATCATTAACACAGTATGAAAATACAATCATTAAACGCATTATAGATATGCTTATAAATCAAGAAAAAAGCATGTATAGCTATATTTATAAACTGCATATTAATGTCTATTAATGTTTTATAAATGATGAATTAACTTTTACTCATGCTTAACTAATGATTAATACTGTAGTGTGCAGTTATTATAAAGTGTTACCCAAATTATAGATATGCTTTAATCAAGTATATAATCTGTATTTATAAACTGCTTATTAATGACTATATTAATGCTTTATGAATGATGAATTAACTGTTTACTCATGCTTAACTAAGGATTATTAGAGTGTAGTTATTATAAAGTGTTACCATGATTTCTTTTTCCACCTGGCAGGTTTTACTTGAGGAAAACATTTTCGCTCGGGATGAAGTGGCAAAAGCTCTTTAGTAGAGGTGTTACCTTTCTGTCCACACATGCGACTGACCGGCCAGCCACACGATTGGCAACGTCTCTGTGTTCATTTATGTCATCGTTGAGGAGATCCTCAAACCGTCCGTTACGAAACTTAAAGAGCTTGTCAGTGTACGTTGCTCTACCTGCAAGAAATGACAAGAACAATTACATGAAACTAACATCCATTTACTTTACCATTATCTCCAGTGCCTCGTTCATGAAACCGTTTCATACCTGAGAAGGCATTATTAGTGTTGAGGACATAAATTTCCTCCCTGCCATCACCATCTATGTCACATGCTGTCACTCCGATGGCATTGCCGTGTCGATCTCTGAGTGCATAATATGGAGAACTGCGGTTGTCAACTGCAATGTTTAAAAGCCTCTTCTTAAACTTGTCGTACTTTAACACCAGATTTGGGCCATTGTAGCTAAAGAGAAAAAAGTAGAGCATAAATATTTAAAACCGACTAACAATCCTTAATCAGTAGTTATGTCTTATATGTGTGTGTTTACATATTTAATTCTATATAAATAGTGTTTATATAAATATTTAAAATGAAAATGTATTACTGAAAAAACTTCATATTTCATTGGCTTTTTATCTTCTTCTTTGCTTCAAGCCTGATTGTTGTTATAGATTTATGTTTAAAACAAGAAAAATGACATTGGCCTAGGAAAAGTAAACTTAATTCAAAATACATTCTCTGAAAACTTAACTCAAAGAAAAACATGCCTTGAAGGATTAATATAAAACCATATTCCATTTATTTAGTTTCCTGTTTCCAACAAGGCACATCATTGTTGGTGCATTTCACTGACCTGCAATCCCACAATTCAACCTCGGCTGTCAATTAATAGAAGGAAAAACAAATTCTAGTTTCCCTAGAGATACAGTTCTGTCAGTTGCACTTCGTTTTAGTCTTGAGCACAATTCAAACAAAACATTGAACTCTCCAATTACATCTATCTTCATCAACACAAATCCGCTGAGATCCAAACCATTTCACAAATGGTTTACAAATAATCCCAATTAATAGCTTTGACATTTCTGTTTCTTTTAGACCTAGCAAATATTACTTTCAAGCCCCAAACTGAGGTAATATTCTTGGCCAGTATCTGTTCTGTCAATATTCCAAAAATGTAAGTTCACTCAAATGGCACAAAAGGACCATATAACTTCCAGACACTGATTAAGTATTTTCTCTAAAGAAACGTAATGTCATAAACGCTTCACGTTCCATGTGATTGGGAATCCAATCACGAGAGGACCAGAACACTCACCCTGAGACAAACATCTCCAGATCTCCGTCTCCATCCACGTCAGTTACAGCCACGCCGTAGTTGAGCTGCGTGGGGTTATTCTCATAGTCCGGGGGGAAAACACTCTGGGTTACTGAGGCAAACATGGGTTCAGTCCGCTGACCCCAGGACAGTCCAGACACACCCACAGTGAGTAGTAATATCCACACCGACATTGTCATCTGTGAATTTCATCAAGTTGTATAAAGAATAAATCACTCTCTAGAATGAAACTATGACAATATCACCATCATACTTACCTGTTGATCTGTGAAAAAAACTCTTTCATTGAGGTTATGACTCACTCAAGAGAAAGGAACTGTAAAACATTCTGAACTGAGCCACACAGTCGGGATATCCCACTTTCATTGAGTTTTGGGAGACTGAATTGCTTTCTACAGTGTTAAGAGGCAATTACCTTCCCAGCATTACATTCCCTGGACAGAGACATAAATACAGAAACTGTGACAGGTCAGAATGGACCAAATTAAGATTTGAGAGTAGAAGCCATTTCACTGCACATGAGACAGACGTTTAGGACGGAAAAATCCATATGTGACAGAGAAGGACATGATCTTTCTGTCTATCTATGTTCAGGGGCGTTTTCCTTCAAGGAAGCAAGGGAGTGCCTCCTCAAAAAATAAAACAACACAGACAATACAAAATGTGACATTAAAAGGTGTATAAATCACTTGTTTTTCTAAAGTAACACTGTGTCCAGCAGCAACTCCAGCAGATAAAGTTATAGTGGGAGTCCGAGGCTCTCTTGCCTCCCCTGAGCCCATTTTGGAGGAGGGTAATTGGCTTTATGCACAGCTGCATTACTTCCTGAACTTAAGCCAGCTCCTTTGTTTCCTGTCTGCCATTATTGGACAAATTGATTGGTTCAGGTGTGCCTAACCTCAGTAGTCACGGCAACAATAATCAGACACACCTGAATTAATCAATCATTAGTCTTCTCCACTGGTCTCTTCTGGAAGAGATTCATCGTCACTGGATCCGTCCAGTGTTGGTACTCCGTCTATGGTTTTAGCCAGCCTCGAGTCTGCGCATATCTGTCAGAAGAAGCGGAGGAGGAGGAGACCTGCGCCTGTCCATTCTGAAACTGCTCACGTCCCGTTTGCCCAGCGAGAGACTGCTCACGTCCTGTCTGCCCAGCGAGAGACTTCTCACGTCCCGTCTGCCCAGCGAGAGACTGCTCACGTCCCGTCTGCCTAGCGAGAGACTGCTCACGTCCTGTCTGCCCAACGAGAGACTACTCACGTCCCGTCTGCCCAGCGAGAGACTGCTCACGGCCCGTCTGTCCAGTCTAAGACAGAGCCAGAGATCCCCTTTGGCGTGGCCGCCAAAGTTGTGACGGACTATCTGGAGCATCTGACTCGGATCTTGGAGAGGCCGGTTTCTGCTATGCCTATTCTAGAGGCAGGAGCCAGTGCCGGTTCCTGAGCCAGAGGCAGAGCCAGTGCCGGTTCCTGATCCGGAGGCAGAGCCAGTGCCTGTTCCTGAGCCGGAGGCAGAGCCAGTGCCTGTTCCTGAGCCGGAGCTCATTTCGGTTCCAGACCCAGTGTTTGTGTCTGTGTTTGTGTCTGTCTTTGTGACTGTTTCCGTTCTAGTGTCTGTTCCTGAGCCGGTGTCTGTTCCTGAGCCGGTGTCTGTTCCCGAGCCGGCGTCTGTTCCCGAGCCGGTGTCTGTTCTCGAGCCGGTGTCTGTTCCTGAGAGGGCTTCACCGCCCTGGCCACACGAAGGGTCTTCACCGCCCTGGTCACCCGAAAGGTCTGCTCCGCCCTGGCAACCCGAGAGATCTGCTCCGCCCTGGCCACCCGAGGGGTCTTCACCGCCCTGGCCGCCCGAGGGGTCTTCACCACGCTGGCCGCCCGAAAGATATGCTCCGCCCTGGCCGCCCGAGGGGTCTTCACCGCCCTGGCCGCCCGATGGACTCTGTGTTTCTCCCTCACCGCCCTATGGACTCTGTGTTTCTCCCTCACCGCCCTATGGACTCTCTGTTTCGTCCTGGCCGCCCGATGTCCCAGTCCCTCCCGTCCCGCCCTGGTCTGTCCCTCCTGTCCCTCCCTGGTCTATCCCTTTAGTCCCTCCGATCAGTCCCTTCCGATCCGCCCTGATGTTTCCTTCCTGCCCCGCCCTAGCCTGATGGAGCGTCTGGTAGCCGCTCCGTAGGGAGGGGGTTATGTCACATGTCTGTCTTGTCTGTGAGGCACATGGGTGTTTTGTTATGTTGAGCCATGTGCTCTTGTCATTGTTTGATCCCTCCCCCTTGTTATCTGATTATTGGTTATTTGCTCCACCTGTCTGTCTCGTTACCCTCCTTTGTTTGCCTGCCTATTTAGTCTTCCTGTGTTTGCTGTCCTGTGCTCGTTCGTTGTTATTGTTACGGGTGTGTTAGTCGCGTGGAGTTCTGTACCTGTCCTGTCAATTCTGTCTTGAATCAAGTTATACCTTGGATTTCTTTTGTTGGTTGGTTTATTTTATGTTTTCTTTATTAAATGTTATCAAATTCACTCTGCACTTGAATCCATCCATTTTCAACAACCCACTGTGACAGGCCAATAATGGCAGACAGGAAACAAAGGAGCTGGCTTAAGTTCAGGAAGTAGTGCAGCTGTGCATAAAGCCAAATTGAGAATGAATGGGGAAAAGTCAAGGAAGAGGAAGCAATGCTTCCATCGCATATGATTTGATATGATTGGTTATGATTGGTTCATGCTGTCAATTCCAGCCTCTTGTTTTTGTGCGCGTGTGTGTTCACGAATCGGTCTGGCGAACAAAATCACGCAATTGGAAAGACTAATTAAAAAGTAACTAAACAACTCACCCACTTAGATATCACCGTTTTATCTCACTGTGGTATGGGGGGCGTGGTTCAACGCTGTCTGCAGCGGGAGAGCGGGGGAGGAGTCGAGCGGGAAGTAAGCGGGTCAAGTTCAAATGATAAACACCTGTCTGTGATTTCAGTGATTGGCATTGGGAGAGTATTTAAGCGGGCCAGTTGGACGCTTCACACTGAGAGAGACTGGAGCTTGTGTGCTCGTGCGCTGATGTGGAGCTGTTCGTTGATCATTGTCGGAGTTTGAAGGAAGCTGTAATCAGCGGGAAGAGAGTGCTACGTCGAAGACGGAAGGAAGCTGTGAATCAGCGGGAAAGAGTTTGTTCTGTTGTGACTGAGTTATTGTGAAATGCGCTGAGGCGCTGTGGAAAGAGTATTACTATTATATCTAATAAAGCACACGAGCTCCAGTATTCGCCGACCCCTTGTCTTCTTCCATCACCCTCCTTGAACCGTACTACACTCACATAAAACAATAAAATGTGAAATGGACTGAAAACATCAGGACTAGGGTTTTTTGTTTTTAGAGAGAAATCAGCTTGATGAAATTAAAGGTTTAGCTCTGTGTTTGTGACCAGTGTTTACCGAACTTTGATGATCCGAAAGTTGATTATTTAACAGAACAACTGAACATCAGCTCACAATTAAAACATATTGTTTAAATTGTACTGCCTTTAGTTATTATTTTTGGAATCAATGGGAAAAAAGTGCTTAAAAACACTAACTCGATGAGAAGTTTTTCTTGGTTTTAATAAATAGAAAAGTTAATTACATAGCTAATGTAAAAATACAAAATGAAATTTATTATATATTTATGTATTTGAATCTTTTAAAGGGGTGATGAACTGAGAAATCAAATTGACATCTAAGAGGTCATCATATTATAAGAATATCCTGTAAGTTTCGAGCTACCGAGCAATACAAAATATTGTGCAGTGCCTGGTTGTGGAAAAAGACGGTCGCTGTATAAGCTTCCTCTGGATTCCAATAGGACTGCATAGATAAACTTTATTTTTAATGACGTTCCATTCCAGCGATTAAGAGTAAACAACGGTGCTGTGCCGTCTATATTGGATCAGACAGGAATTGTCCAACACACTGACTCTGGGTTGAATCATTCCATGCCATTTTACAACAGTGGACGTTTTCAAAACAATTTCCCCCAAGTGCATCGACGGGTGAGTTGAAACTCATTATAATATGAAGAACTGTTATCCACTCACAGCAGTGGGCTTTTACTTCCAAGTCTTCTGTGCAAGACGCCCATAAAAACCGAGCGTTTTTCAGGTAGGCAAAAAAATTGGGTGCAAAATAGCCTATTACTTATTCATTTTGATGTTTTTGAACGCAAAAAACAAGTGAAAGTCATAAGTTGAGCTCAGACAACAATATAATAAAATTTAAAAAGCCAGTTCATGACCCAATGTAAAACTGACTTGAACATTGTCCATATGTTGTTCCCAAAACTTCTCATTTGTTCACCGTTTGAGTACATAGCAAATTCCACGTGTGAACATACGTGAATGCAAACAAAGCCATTGAAATCAAGGTCTTATAACCAGGGGTGCACATAACTGGTGCACATGCCTGGTAAAAATAAATGATGTGCAGCAGAAAACGCTTTTGATTACCAACATTTTTGGGGACAGGGACTCGTTTACATACTGGAGTAGGATTTTTCTCCATCTCTGGTAAGATAGAGATCATGATGATATGTGTTCATTAATTATTAGGGGTGCAATGGATCGCAGTGGATCATTGTTTATCAAGCCCCACGGTTCGGCACAGCACACGTGATTAACTGCTAAGTTTAACCATCATAGAGTGAAAGTTTATCATGTGTCTTGCCAATTTGTACATTCAAACGATTTTAAACGCGAAAGAAGATACAAAAATCGGGACTCACACAATGTAATCTTTGATGTTATTATCAGCCACACCCGAGAGACAGAGAGAGAGAGGTGCGCTCAAACACCAAACTGATTCCTCTTTTGCGTTTACTTGCGCATGAACAGACACATAAACGTATGTCATAATTATGTCTCGGCAAGTATTCTCTTGTTTATGTTTATGTAAGTGAAGATTTGAGAAAGAAACCGGGTGTGTGTCCGTATATTCGGTCTGTACATTTGATCTTAAATTGACAGCAGCCTAATATTCCTGCGGTTGTCTGTGTCATTAAAGGGATAGTCCACCCAAAAAAAATAAATAAAAAATTATTACCCCATGATTTACTTCAAATAATAGCCCGGGCATTTATTTTCCCAAATCGTCGAACTCCACCGGCTTTTGACGGCATCTATTATGAGACCGGCCTTTATAATTTAGTGTTAAGATGTTGTTCATTGAGTCTCTAATCTCTAAAAATCTCCAAATGCTCCATTCTATTCTACATCACTTACCGATCAAAATTTGGCGAGACAAAAAATTGGCTTAGGTAACCCGAAACTAAAAAACAGACAGCCTCTATTTGAGACTGGCTTTTATTTACCCAAACCTGCAGCCACACCATCATGTAAAAGAGACAGGCGTCTATTTGGGACTCGGCTATTATTTTTAGTTTTCGGTACTTACCCACAAGCCATCCTAAGTGTACACGACATTCTTCTTTCAGACGAATACAATCTGAGTTATATTAACTCCTGGCTCTTCCAAGCTTTATAATGGCAGTGAACGGCCGTTTCTGTTTTGAAGTCCATAAAAGTGCAACTATGTATGACAAAAAGTGATCCACGTGGCCCTGGGGGGTTAATAAAAGCGAAGCGTTCATGTAAGAAAAATCCATATTTAAAACATTATCGACTTAAATAACTAGCCTCTGGCAGACGACCTATGCAAGTCAGCTTATGCCAAAAGAGTAACACTTGACAATGTATGATGTGGATGTAGGAGTAGCGTAAGCTTTGATGCCTCTCACGGTTCAAACAAATAGGGCTGGGCAACAAACTCAAGCTCCTCCGGCATTTCTCTTTAAAAATTCTGATTTTAGACTCCTAACTTGTGACTGGAATTTTGATATTTTTCTTAAACGAACGCATAGCTCTGCTTCAGAAGGCCTTTATTAACCCCCAGGACCACAGGGAGCACTTTTATCATGAATGGATGCACTTTGATGGCCATTCACTGCTATTATAAAGCTTGAAAGAGCCAGAACATTTGTTTTTGTTTTATAGAACTTTGATTGTATTTGGCTGAAAGAACAATGTCATATACACCTAGAATGGCTTCACAATGAGTAAATCATGGAGTAATTTTCATTTTTGGGTGAACTATCCCTTTAATATTAATAATTTTTAAAAAAAAAATCATCATCATCATCATCATCATCTAATGTTCGAGAGAAAAGAACACGATGACATAACACACAGCTCCAGGTGCTCCCTTGAGATCCAGACCAAAAAAGTTACAGTGTGTGCACTCTTATAGCCTTAAATGGAAAAGGACAAAAAGTGAAAATTCTGTAATAACTTGTAATAATTTTCCTTTTTTTTCCCCCCCAGTGAAACACAGAAGTAGTTTGTTGTTGTTGTTGTTGTTTTTACAGAAAATCCAAGCTGATGGTTTTATCGGTAAAGTGGTGAATAAGCAACATTTTCAATGTGAGATTTTCAGTGAATAGCAACTTACAAATTAGTGTGTTTCTTCACACAAAGCTATGTCAGACAGAAGCACTAAAACACTTCCGGTTTCAGAAGATTTTGAATATGGAAAATATAGGGCTTTTTTGGAGCATGACAGTCCGGTTCTTAATCCAGTTTCATTGTAAGAGAGCAGCTTGAACATTCTACTAAAGATCTCCTTCAGTGTCCCACGTACAGGAAAGTCAGCCATACAGGTTGAAATGACACGAGGGTGAGTAAACAATGACAATAATGTTAATTATACACTGTAAGAAAAATATCAATAGAACAACATTAAGGTACCAGTAATGTGCTGCCAAGATATTATCCATTCATTTACGGATTTTTCCTTTTACCCTAAAACACAACACTAATAATATTTCGAAAATACAGTTCAAAATGCAGAAAAATCAATATGGAAAGTTCATTCATATTAACACACTACCCTATTTGTGTGTAGCCTACTTCTCAGAGTATAGGGGAAGACACAATTTGGATTCAGACAATGGCATTTCTGCAGCATATGGCAAGGAAAGAGATATGTCATGTGAGAAACACAAAGAGGAGAGAGATGAGTATATGTGTTCAAAAAATATGCATGCCCCAACTCCTCTAATCAACCCATTGAACTCTAACATCAAAGCCATGTAATTAATTTAGATTACGGTTGTAATCAAAGCAACCAAATAAGTATTGTATTAGTCATATTACTGGAGCAAAGGTTTGAGCACAGTGATAATTTGAGCGTTGATGACAGAATGTACATAGTCAGACTGATTAAAGGCCTCAGCAGAGGTTGTCACTTTGTTCTTCTTTCCTGTCCTATATTATAGCATTATGTACCCCTTTTATATTAATAACTCAGTGCAAAACAGCCAAGGCAGAAACAGTAAAAGCAGAGTAAACATGTCATTTTATTGTAATTTATTTAGTGTTTCACACTACGAATGGCTGGATAAGGGCAGTGGAACACCAACCAGTGCTCTGAGGGTACCTTATGTACTGTCATCTCTAATCGTAAACTGATGATGTAAAAGCTTCTCGGGTGAGGTGAGAGCTGGGTGTGTTCCAAACTAAAAAAGTCTTATCTACGGGGTCATAAATCCAGAGAAAGACAGGCAGAGGAACCACAAGAAGAGGTGAATGTGTCCTTGCACCAGCTCTGCATCTCGAAGGCAGTTTGACTAGAAATGATGCGATCAGCTCCATCTCACTGCAGCTATCACACACAGTACAGAACTGCGGTTACAACTGAGATGTTAGATGATATGCATTGTGATATTTATGAAAATCTCCCCCGGTATGTTTCATACAACTATTGAATCCAAGTTGGTATTATCAAAATGATACAAGAAATTCATAATGTGGAACCATAAACTCTCTTTGGAATTATTTTAGGTCTGTGACCTATCAATGTGGAACCATAAATTCTCTTTCTTTGCATTGTTTGCCTGTGACCTTCACCTCGTAAATTCTTGCCTATTTTACTCTCATCTTGAGTGTGTATTCATGCATTTCTGGGCTCTGATCGGACTGCGACAAACACCAGCATGGTCAGCCCCTCAAGCATCTTTCATTTCACGACAAGACAATGCTTTTAAAAGTAAATTTCGAGAAAATAGACAGCTTCTCATCCCTGATGCTAAAAAGAAAGAAAAAAAAAATCTGGGTCTAAATGAAAGTGATGGAGGTGCCCTTAACTACTGAATTGAATAAAGTTTCATGATGTGGTTTTGTAAAACATTTAAATAAAATAAATAAATACATTTTAAATTTAAACTAATAATAATTATTATTATCAAAATACACATGCAAAGCAAAAATAACGGTGATATGATAAACAAATAAAAAAAAAACATTCTTTTGATGTTGTTTCTTATTTGTTTAAAAAGTCCGATGAGCAGCACAAGTAAATATAGTAGTAATTAAAATAAAGCAAAAGTTAAAAGCAAATCATCCAAAAACTGACCCTTCTCTTGCGATCTCCAGTACAGTTACAGTATACAGTTATCGCATATCATCTGATCGGCTGAGAACGTTTAATTAGATGCGCAATGCAAGATCAGATCAAAGGAGCCGCTTCTAACTTCAAAGACGCTGCGGCAGATATGAAAGCATCGGTACTTACATGAATGAAAGTCCAGCGCCGCTCATAAACGACTTCCCTCCTCATAGATTAAGAGATTCCCTGTGGACCTTGAGTATGTGTCTTAGTGATTTTACACAACTTCCCAAGAATTTGCTTTCTGAAATCAGCTGTGTAAGAATCTATCCAATTACAAGCTTCTGTGGTGAATATTTAAAAGAGGCAGCCAATGACTGCGTTGGAGGGCGGAGCTATGCTTGCGGAATGACGCTTACCTGAGGCTTCCTACTTAATAATTCAAAAGCACTGGTCTGAACACACAGAGGACGAGGATTTTGAATATGTTTAATATATTTATATTTTAAAACAATTGCACTTAAATAATCTGTTACTTTCAGAAATGAGACATCTTACATTGTGTGCTTTCATGCATATTATTTAAATGTGAAAGCCATTTTCTTAATTAAAGTGCTGATTGCCAGACTTATGATCATATTACCATTTTATGAGAACATTTTATGGATCCACTCCATTTATAGAAATGTAACGGCTCATCTGCTGCCTTTAGGATGTGGGCAGAAGTCCACCATCTAAATCTTTTCCTTTTTTTTAACTGATTAAAATTTGTTTGCCTGCATAACCTTTTAGAAAACTCAGCTCACATTCAAACATACAATCTCACAATTATGGATTAAAATACATCTTTAAGTGGGGTTAAATCAAAATCAAATGTTCCTTGAAATTTTGCAATACAATAATTTTACAATGAAAGCATACTGCACTTTACAGATATCAAAACTTAGTCCAAAAAAAAAAGCAAATTATTGACAAAGCTGGAAAACCTCTCGCTCTGCAATCCCCGGATTCTGATTTTCTGAAATCTGAAATATTAGTTATGAATGCTCACTTGTCAGTAATTCCCAATCATCTCATATTCAGACATATTATGTACTGGATAAAATACAGTCTGCCATTACAGTACAGTCATTATTGTTAAATAAACTTTAATGCAAAGCAGAATCATAGACAGTATAAGAACTCAATTGAGACAAGTGAAGCCCATTTTTAGCGATTTTTTAGGCCGTGTAAACGAACGGCCAAAACACATAAAATTTGTAAAAAATTTTTGTTTAAAACGTTGTCGTGTACACAGCCCCTATAGGCTGATTCTGAAATTGCGTACTTCCCCAATCCCTACTATATGGAAGGCGAAAAAAAAGAATTCACAGTACTAATAAAAAAGTAAGCAAAAATTGACGTACTACTACCAGTGAGATTCTGAAGTGTGCATACAATGAATGGACAATTTACTATCCCATGAGACCACAGGAGAGGATTTGTGAATGGCAGTGATGAGACGCAACTAACGTTGGTAGGTCACATGATAGTAACAACATGGCAAATGTAGTATTTCTAGATTACATTCATACTACAGTGATATTTCCTGCAGTTGTGTACTTACAATATCCCAAATGTCTCCAAAGATTTTTTTTAATTCAGAGAAATTCCAATTTTAAACAAGTTGCCGTCACGGAAAAAAATGTCAATTACGTAGGCCTAATATCCGTGCTATCCTCGGTTTCCGTTCATACTGCCATAACCATGACGTAACCATGGCAACAGATACGGACAGTGCGTAACGTGTAGAGGCACGCAGTTCTTGTTTCATTCAAACATAGACCATGCCAAGCAGACTTTGGGACAAACAAGGAGAACTAAAATGAAGATCAATATCAGCGTGGCGTTTTTGAGATGCAGAGAGCTCCACGTCCACGACTAACTTTGACTTGACCGAGCTTCACGAGTCACGACTTGACAGCATCATTACACAGGTGAGCAAATGTACATAAAACAAATCAATGTTATATAGCCTAACGTTAGCCCAACATGATGAAATAAATATGGTCAGTATGTTATTCTAATGTTGACCTAGCTTACTGCTCGTTTCGTATAGCAAACAAACTAACACATAGTATAACATTATAACTTTCAACACACATTTAAATACCGTTTGGTGTGATAGTGTAATGTTAAACCAAATTAAGCAGCGCTGCGTTACCTCACAAGTTTAATTTGTCTAATAAACTGACCTGTGTAATCCAGCACTTGAGGGTAGTTCAGTAGAATTAAATGTCCTTATTCCTTTATATCCGCGGGACTCGCGTGTGATATCTGTCTCTTTAGAAATCATGACCTGCTGACCAATGTTAAAAAAACATGAATGTTTGCAAATTGGCCATCGTTTAAATGCCACAGCCTACCTGAGCATAGCCTGGATGCCAGCCCGAACTCCGCCCACAACATTTTTTTGGTCGGGAAGTTCGGTCTGGACTCGCACCATTGAGGAGAAATTATGATCAGGCAAAAAATGATCGGGCCAATCAAATTACCAGGGCGGGCTTTATACGATGATGGACAGATGATCTGCAGGGACGTAATCATCACGTTATCAAAGAGCGCTTGTCAAAGATGACTGCAGCTGGAGAATTGAGATGTATTGTTTCCGCTGTCGCGTCTTTTGTAAAATAAATCGACAGCGCATTCATTTTGATAGACAAACAGAGAACTGCAATCAAGGCATTTGTCGATCGGAAAGATATTTTTGGCGTCCTTACTACATGATTCGGGAAAAGTGTAACTTATCAGCTGAATCTGACGGTCGTTAAGAAGATGGGACGTAATGAAAAGCCTGTGGTCGTTGTGGTTTCTCCTTTGGTGGCACTCATGGAGAAGTAAGTAAAAGAAGCAACACTCGTTATTTAACTTCTAAAATAAATAGAGCTAGGCTACGTTCTGTATTTGAAAACTGCGCTAAGGAGTTGACTTACTGCGTTGATCTAATTGGTTGTAGGTCTACCGACTATCCAATTGAGTGCAGAGGGTTTTTTTTTTTGCCTGGTTCGGGTTACGACGCGCCTCATAATCAAAGCCCATGGAGGAGTTTCAGACTCATATTCTCTCTTGAATATGAGTATGACGAAGTCAGGCTAACCTGAGCATTGTTTCTGACCATGTCCATCCCTTCATGGCCACCATATCCCCATCCTCTGATGGCTACTTCCAGGAGGATAATGGCACCATGTCACAAAGCTTGAATCATTTCAAATTGGTTTCTTGAACATGACAATGAGTTCACTGTACTAAAACGGCCCACACATTCACCAGATCTCAACCCAATAGAGCATCTTTGGGATGAAGTGGAACGGGAGCTTCGTGTCCTGGATGTGCATCCCACAAATCTCCATCAACTGCAAGATGCTATCCAATCAATATGGGCCAACATTTCTAAAGAATGCTTTCGGTACCTTGTTGAATCAATGCCACGTAGAATTAAGGCAGTTCTGAAGGCGAAAGGGGGTCAAACACAGTATTAGTATGGTGTTCCTAATAATCCATTAGGTGAGTGTAAGTCTTAATGGGTTTTTAACTCTAAGGGTCACAGAGAAAATATGGAAAATGAAAAATAGTTATGATTTAATAATAAATTAAATATCTAGATTTTGTTTTTGGTACATCATAAGTTAACATCATAATTTGGATGACAATATATTTCAGTCTAAAAAGAGGATCACTCAGAAGACTGGCAAAAGTAAAGCATTCTCAGGTTAAGTATCTTGTTCCCTGAACAAAGCAAGGCTTTTCAATCCATTAAACTTCAATTAAGGCTCCCAGATGTACTTTCTTTCTTTGCATTTCATTGTTCATTTGTTGGCTCTACACTTCATTGTACACTTTGACCTACACAACATCATCTGTCACTACAGGCACTGCATACATGTCGAGACCCATTCTCTCTCATAGAAGAAGTTCTCAGCCCCTACAAGAAATGATCCACAATGGCTCAGCCATCCTTGAACGAAGCCAATTACCTTTCTGAAGACACCTGATGTGATCCCATCGCCAATGAAATTCAAAGTTAGATCACAGCCATTGGATGTGGCATGCATTGCCACAACCCTTTCCCCCATGTGCCCCATTTGTCCTTGCTTTTGATAAGCAAGCTCAGGGTTAGTTTGTGGTGTAAAGTGTCCTTTACTGCTGTCCTGATTTTCTGCGGCAGGGTTTATCTGCTCCATTATGATTTGTTCTCTGTAGATTAGCATGAATTTGAGATTTGAAACGAGAAAAGCACCTGCTTGGATCTAGTATTCGGTTTAACCTTTAGCAAATCCATGCATCACCTTCATCTGACAGCACAATACAATGTCCTTGGCAGATTCTCATGGGCTTTCAGTGTACCAAACAGCTGATGGATGCCACCGTGTGTCTCCTGCTCTCCCGCACAATCATCATGGGCTCTCGTAATGCATGACACTTCAGACCGAATCTATAGTAAAACCAGGAAATGTGACAAAGCCTTTTAAGTTAATTAGTGCACTGTAGCTGCAACTAAACTATGTGCTAAAAAGTAATTAATGCAATTGTTTTGTTTGAGTGAGATGCGATTGATTTTCAGAAGATGATTGTAATGATTTAAGTAGTGTTGTTCACAAGCAGTGGTGGGCAGTATACGAAGTAGACTATTTTTCAAGTATCTGCACTTTATCTGAGGATTTTTATTTTGGGAAACTTTTACTTTTACTTCACTTCATTCCAAAACACAACATTGTGCTTTATCATTTACACATTTACTCGAGTAAAATTGAAAAGGAGGACTTTTTTATATATAATTTTATTGGATTATTATTTAAATAGTGTTTGATTTGTGCATGTCGTCTACAACAAGCTATTGCATAAATTGAACAAACTACTCATTTAAAGGAACAGATCCAAATCAATTTTTTTTTTTCAATGAATCAAGTTGATCCAGTTCATAAAATGGTCTGAACGATTCGAACGAAAAGGTTGCGTTGGTTAACAGTTCAATGGAGAGGATGCTCTTTACTGAATAACAGCTTCATTTTTCAGACCGAATTTCAAAACATGAAATATAAGACATGCTTTTATGGTTATTTTTGTCACTAAAGTATGGTCAGGATATATATATATATATATATATATATATGAAGAGTTCAGATGCAAAAGCCTCTAAATGCCATTTGAAATTTTCTTCTTTAATGATGATTTTTTTTAGTTCAATAATTTCACTTAAATAACAATTAA